CATCACCTGGCAACTCATTAGGCAAATGGGCTTTATATCACTTTTAAATATCAACTCTCATTTGTGCTGAAATCACAAATTAGAAAGCTGAAATAGTACAGCGCCAACAACTGACCTGTGTATACGTCTCCGTATATACCTGACACCCGTCAATTGTTTCGAATTCGGGCTGGCCAATCGGAGCCTAGTTGTTACCGTAATGATATGGCAGAATAGTTTTAAAACAAATTAAATGACATTTCGTCTTTATAATGTACACGATGGTGCCAATCACACCAATTACCTGGTCTTAAACTAAGTAATTCCCTGTACTTGAGTACCAGAGCAACGCAATAAACACTACCGAGAACACCTAGGCAAGAACCAATTGTAAAAAGTTCATTTCCTAAATTGGCCCTAGATACAACGCCCATAGTGCAAATTGTTGAGCACAATTTAAATATCTATTCAAACAAGAAACCATGGTAAAATATGCTAATTATGGAATGTGACCAAAATAAACTGTTACCATATCCTTTGTTTATATTTTTGTAACATATATTTTTTAATGTTTTTTGTAAAATAACATTGTAACAGTAAATGTTTAGATAACCATAAAACTTACAATTTATTGTATTTCATAGTGAATATAAAATTTGTGATGACCATGTACGTATGTATAACATCGTTGTTTATACCTAGCCTATATTGATATAACACCACTTCATTATTCTACAAAAAAAGATATTTTGGCAATTGTTAAAAAAAATTCAGAATTCATTTGAGTATTTGTTTATAATATTGTTTTTATTTCGCTTAAATTACATGAGCTAAGATTTCCAACACTATCCATTATGTATGTATGTTTGAATGATTTTATTGGCACTGTTAGGGAAGGTTTTTTTTTTGCTTGACAAAAGTGAACCGTATTGCTACACAAAGCAGAATAGTTTATTACTCTGTGTAGCACGCAGAGAAAAATACGGTTAACTTAGTAAGCAAAAATGGGCTCACGGTACTGATAGAAATTTACCACGACAGCTTTTTTAATATGTCCCTTTTCACGAAGCTGAACACACAGTACTCAGTAATTGTGATCCATGAACATTTTCCTATTTTTAGTAACTTTTGCAGTTATCCAACTCAGAAAAACTTTTTAAAGCGGAGTCACCGCACGTGGTGTACAAAATAAGATTCCGAAGCCATTGTTTTGGTCAATAGGTCATTTTGCGATTCTGTCAAGAGAACAAATACGGTCAAAGTCAATACATAAAGTGTGCACATAATAGATGCCTAAAAAATAATGGCTGCCTAACATTAAACATATAAAAATTCAATCTTATGAATTATGATTGCAACTTAGCCCATGTAATTTTAACATTTTAAACACAAGAGAAATGGCTTATTTAATAATGCTTTTATGACCATTATAAAACAATCCAGCAAGGTAATAACGTAAGCACCGTATTTCTTAAACGAGCTACGATTAACTCACTCAATATCATAGTTCTCACGCACATTCAAGTTCACTGCTAACCACAGACGCGATCGGGTTCCCACTAACAATCGTGGCGACTTTTAGAAACTCCTCTTTCACCAATGGAATCTTTATACCATACAAATTTGGTACAGAATGAATGTGATGATGGCCATTTAAATAAATAAACGTAACGGACTAATTATATCTTTTCATTACTTAAATCTAAAGACGGTATATTCATGTTCATATTTATTTTTAGATTCTTTATTACGTATGGACAACCCTATGTTGTCTTATAAACGATCAGTACATCTTTGAGGGTCAATGTATTCTAATTATTGTTTAGGAATAAGCAATGCAAGTTCAATCGGCAGAACTAATGCCTTGACAGCGTAACATTATAAGTTTTTGTTTTATGATACAAGTGACGGGACGAACAAGTCGCACGCCTTGTGTTAAGCGACACTTCTAGCATAGCATAGCAGTTGCACTGTCACTCAGGGTTTTACATCGCAAAGAGCTGAGGGGCACTGCAACTGCTCTGGACAGGCGTTTAACACCAGGCGCGACTTATTCGTCCCGCCACTTATGAGTCATAAAAAAAATGTACACTGTAATGAAGTATGTTGCCATTATTTATATTAAAACAATACCCTCAAAATATACTACATCTTTTCGTCTTTTACTGTATTACAAATTGCAAGCAACATAAACACTTAAGACGATTTACAAAATGCCTAAAAACATCGACATGCTAGCGTCCTATAAAAAGTGCAATAACGTTAAACCGTGGTAAAAATACAATATTTTGGCAACCTCTATGTCGGAAGTGTTTTTATCACTAATTTTTACATTTATTTTTTTAGACATTATTATTGTTTTCTTTTTGTTAGCTATATTGTTTGATAGAGAACCAATAGCTATATATAGTCACCTGCGACATCTGGTAAGGGTATTACGAAGCCTCTCGAGAAAGTACACTTTTCATTGTACAGTCAACGCTATACATTGCAATGTATTCAACGATGTCTGTCACTATTTCATGTCATTTACTATTTCAATTTAAATAAGGTATAAATTATAATGCTCCTGAGACCGACCTCGACAGGTTTGAGCTGGCTCTTAGATTAATGAAAGTGAGTTGTTAAGCAACTTGTTGCGCAGTAAATGTAGTTTAATAAAATAATAAGAGGCTTCATATTATTTTTTGTAATAAATAAGGCTTAAAGAACAATGGCGAAATTATTGTTAAAAGAATTCTTTAGCGTCTTCAAACGCCATCATTACAAGTTTGAATAAAATAAATTCCTTAGATTTTTCAAATTATACTAAATGCCCGTGTAAGTCTGGAAATAAAATCATATTTAAATGAAACTCTAATGACTAATTAGTATGTAACCGGATTGATATATCTACAATTGTCAGTTTCTTAGTTTACCGGCAAAAAGAGATTTTCAATACCTTGATTGATCCACATTAAGTTATTTCGCGTAATATTATTGTTCGGCCGATTTGTAATAACTTCATTAGAAACAAAAAATAAAATAGATATTCCTTCTTCAAATATACCACGCGAGAAAGTGGTAAACCGAAAAAAAAGTTCCCGTTGTCAGGGATAGATGGCACGTTTCACAAAAAAAAATAGTGCCTGTATTTGTGTGTGTATTAGCTCTGATTTTTTGTAAATGTTATATTTTATTCAATTATGTAAAATATAACCTCCAAAACTTCATACTAGAATATCTTTAATTCCAAATTTCTCAGAATAGTAAAGGCAAAACAAAATTTTGTTCAGGAATTTAAACTCTACATTTTCACAAATTTTTCAAAAACAGACGCATACAAATTATGTAAAAAAAAAGATTATATGCGAGTTCGCCATTGTTCTTTGCGTACTGTGATTTTGGTATAACAAATCCGAAATTGTATTTCTTATTTTGGGAAAGCGGTTAAAATTAAGTCAATTGCATTTTTGTCAATCGATTTTCGCGCAAACAATAATAATAGTGGAGTATCATCAGATACATAAGTATAATTGGATAATAGATTTTTAGACAGATTAGGCTTGTTATTTACTTGAACGGAGATAAATAGAGAAGTGACGTGTATTAGAAATTAACAGCAAGCAAATAATATATATATAATACTTATTTGCTATTTCTAATCAACACATATTATTATTTCATTAATGATATTTAGTGACGGGATGAACAAGTTGTGGTAGCAAGCAACATCCCTATCTGTGATAGTTGCAGTGCAAATCAGACAACTTTATGTCTCAGAGTGACAAGCGCAGTGGAGGTGCTTTTCTGATCTTTACTTATATAAAGCTCTGAGTGGCACTGCAACTGCTATGGACAGGCGTGTCGATTACCACAAGGCGCACGATTTGTACATCGCGCCACTTGGTATCGTAAAAAAATTATATGTTAAGCCACCAATATGGTAATTTCCCGAGACACAAGTTACATCTCCATCTATCTCCGTTTCAGTTTCTAAACTGCCATTACTCGTTACCATTAAAGTCAACATATTCAAAGTACGTCGTGGAGTAAAAAATCCGTATATAACGTTACATGAGTATTATATCAAACAATATCTTGAGCAATCTCTACAAATATATATACAGCTTACCGTTGCTTTATATACATTGGTGTTTTTGTTTCTGAAACAAGTATAATAATTTGTTAAAGGGATAGTAGCCTTATTATATAGTTATTGTTTTCATTTTTATCATTTTTACCGCCGACTTCAAACTCAGGAGGAGGTTCGTATTTCGCAGTCGAAAAAATATAGTTATTTTTTGTGTATGTTACGATTACTTGGACATTTGTGATCCAATTTCGATGAACATTTGTTTTGTTGGAAAGGTTACCTACCATGGCAGCGGTGCCATTCAAATTTGAAGAAAATATTCCACCTCTAATGGCAAGTTAGAGGATGAAGCCGGTTCCTTGAGTTTCACCCCCTTTCCGTTAACCGATTTCAATAAAACTTGGCAATGTGATTCCACAAACTTTCGAGGTTGTTCTTTTATAAAAATATCCATTATCATAATCATAGGTCAAGTGGTAGTAATTTCCTGGACGAACTATTTCGCAAGGAGTTGCACTGCCACTATATGGATTAAATTTTTGTTTGCACACATATTCATAGCCTCGCACTAGAGAAACCCTGTATCATGGGTGCCATTCAATTAATCAACCCAATTTTAAATCTGGAAAATGAGAAATCTAAAATTAGATAATACACAACCCAATTAGATTATAGATTATTGTGAATGAATTTAAACAGTTAACAGTAGAAAAAGTCTACGTGTGTGGCACTGGTGACACAGGGTTTCCCTAGTGCGGGGCTATGAGTGTGTGCATTATTTTGAAAAAGAAAAATGTAACCATTTTTTGAACTATACCCAACTTATTACAATTTGGCCCAGAATGCCCCATACCTTTAGGAAAGTTAATTGTCCTGGTCCTGCCGGGAATCGAACCCGGGACCTCCTCATCCGTCGAGCCACTGAAGTCGTCCTCTATATAGTCACCTGCAGTCAGTGATGCCGAGGCCGCTTGGTGGGCGGGTTGTGGTGCTGCGGCGGCGCGTGGTGGCCCAGCGTGACGAGCGCCGAGGCCACGGCCAGCCCGCCCAGTGGCGGCGCCCGCCCCGTGCCTCCCGTGGGCAGGCGCACCAGCAGCGACAGCACGGCCGCGCGCCCGCCGCGGCACGGCTCCAGCGCCACTGGCGCCGGCACGCCCGTGCCTACCATGACAGGTATTCGATTACATCACCTGTTAAGACCCCCTTACCCCCGTATGCATGCGATTCCTTGTTTCGATCGATCGTTGATACGATTCTACGAGATTCTAACTGGATGACGAAAAACTTTCATAGATTTCTCATAGATGGTGCTACGGCTAAAAAGTCGTTGAAAACCAAACAGAAAGATCCGACAACAAGCATATAGAAAAATTCGTGAGTTCCGCTGGTTCGTTCCGTGTCTTAGTTGGTAGCGTCTGTCACGATTTGCTAGAAGACGTCGGTTCGAATCGAAGGATTTTTTTCTAAGATCTTTGTATTTGTAATTATAACAGACTAGTGGGGTAATTTCACAAAAAAATATTGAATATCAATAAAAAATTTAATACAAAGAATTGTTATGTAAATTTACTTTCAAGAAAACATTTTAAGTTGATACTTCTTGAAAGCATGTAAATTTAGTTAGTCTACACTGTAGGGCTAGCACGACAGGTCGTGCTATGGAGGTCTCGCAAGGAGGTCTCGAGCAAGTCGCGCCCTGTCGTGCTAGTTTTGATAAATGTATTAGGTATACTATAGTTTTGTGATTGTGAAGTATGACCTCGCACATCAAACTGCTCGCTCAGTTTGTCGAATAATTGCACTATGTTTTCTTATACGCCTTCTATATGAAATAAATAATTATTTATTGTCGGAGAAAAATAAATGGAAAAGGTGTTCTTAATGATGGATACTACCATCTTCTACCTTAATGACATAAATTTTACCCATGAAACACACTCTTTTAGCCATATCGCTCAAAATCGTCTGTCATATAGAGTAGCCTAAACTTAACTTCTATTACAGAATCCGAAGCCAGCGATTTCCTTTGCGTCAAAAAAGTCTTTAAAATGTGTTCAATTCAGTATTATCAATGGACAAATGACAGCACTCACCCCCCACTCCCTTCTCGAGCTCGACACACACTTGGCTGAACGGCCGTGATGCCATTTGCTCCATCTCTACGAATAACCGCTGTCTTCTTCTGTACATGTCATATTTCTGAAATATATACATTTATTTTAATTTATACTTGCATTTAATGTGGATCCAATCTCCATCTAAATTTTTATATCGGTTTTAATAATCCATCTAAATCTAAATTTGTTAATTTGGAATCCAACTAAATTTTTATATCGGTTTTAATATATTGCATAATTGTAACAATTGTATATGTAGAAATATAATTAGTAAAGTCATTATCATTGTAGTGCCCTTACAGGGTTCGTGTGCTGGTATACTATTATTCCTCCTCTGTTAATCCACATGAATAATGCATAAATGAATTATCAATTGGAAGACGCACATACTCACTTCTTAAAGAAGACTAGAGCCCTACTAAATAATTTTGCAAAACAAGGCGAAACTACAGGCACATGAGACTTGTCATCTTTATGGATCAGGATGACAGACGCAGTGGCAGTGCATTCCAGGTCTTTGCCATTTAAAACTCTGAGTGGCACTGCAACTGTTATGGACAGGCGTGTAACTTGCCATCAGGATAGGTCCCGTCGCTTGATATAAAAAAAAACAATTATAAATAAAAGAACTGAAATATCATTTTGCAAGCAGCAGAGCTCCTTCAGGGAAGTTCTGCCACCTTACCTATTTCTGCCGCCAAGCAGTAATGTTAAAATTACTGCGTTTCGGTTTTGAAGGGTAAGGTGCTGGTGAAATAACAGGTACATGGGGCTTGTCAAGTTATGTCTCAGGGCGACAGGGTGGCAGGATGTTCGTCGCGTAACTTGATATTATTTTAAAGTCTGTTTTCATAGGTGAGATTACTGCTACCATTAATAATGCAGATTCTCTTGAGAATAATGAGAAAAAAACTCTAAATATGTGAATATATATTTACATTTAAATAATGTTTTCCTTTTCATTCAGTCACCCTATTACGACTGTAGACTTACTATGTATTCAAATTTGTGAAGATGATGAATATTTGAAAGGTTATTTCATAGCTAAACAGATTACAATTGTAACGCAGATTTTGAGAATAATGAGTAAAAAACGAGCAACCCGAGCAAACGAGCACTTTTTCTTTTCATTCGTACCAAGCAGTTACTGACCTGTTTAATTTTCCACAATGCAGCAGCTACCAATAATAGCAACAGAAAACAGCTCGAGAACGTAATGAAGAATTGTTGTAAATTCAATTTCGGGTACTGCGAGAACGAAATCTGTATCCATAGTGGCGGTTTGAAGTCGTAAACGTAGACGAAGAACGTGGTCAGCGTTACGTTGTCTTCGACGCCGAACGAGTGCTCCGATTTCGCGAACCTGTGGTTAAAAGATGGAGGTTTTTCGTTTGGCAGGTATTTGAAGCTTTTATTGCAGGTAGACATGCAGGTAGGGATGTTCGCGGAGGCGCGTACTGATAACTTCAGTACGATAATACGCAAGAGAACTGCCTCCCTGATGCGGCGTATGTGTGACAGTTCCAACAGCCTCATACGGTTGGTCTGGGAGTATCAAATCTGTTTTACATTTAAGCACTGGAACTGCACACGCATGGGTTCCAGAGGCTTGGTGTATAAACTAATGTAATTTTTCTGACAACCTATTTTGCTAACATAGGCTGTAAGTTTTCTGTAACTAACATAATATGGACAAAGTTTGAAATATTTTTTTTTTGTTTGATTTGAAAACCATTTTTTGAAACAATTAATTATACAATGTGTATTTATTGAATATCATGTTTTTGTTAAATTATTATTGATGCACTCCGACGACCTCAGTGGTCGAGTGGCTTGCATGCCGGTTTTCATGGTGTCGTCATCTCTGAGGTCCGGGGTTCGATCCCCGGTCAGTTCAATGTAGACTCTAGCCAAATTCGATATCAAATGTTTAATAACAAAATGTTGCCTGGCAACCAATGATGGCAAAGGAAAAGAAGATTTATTTTAGGTTGGTTTTAAGGTTTGCTCTCTGGCCTCTTCCCTTAATTGGAATTTAAATAGGTAAGTAGGTAATTGGGTTATGTAGAAATAATACTTACCTAGCCAATCAATATAAAGTTAAAAAATACCTATTGGTACGTATGATTTAGGAATAAAAATAAGTTTTTGCATCATATTACTATTTACTGCTAGATGGTAGGTAATGGTAGATGAAAAGAAACAAAATTGTAAGATGTTATTTGATATTAATTTACCACATATTAAATCATCCAGCATCTATTTCCGATTCTGAACTTGAATTACCACCAGAACTCGAATGTTTGCAATCTCTCCATTCAAATCAAAAAGTCACATATTTACAAATAATTAATGACTGGTAATTTTTAGGTGATTTGAAACTTCTGTTGAATAATGTTCATTATAAAAATGGCTTCAAGATTTTGTATTATCCATAATCTAGTTTAATTTTGTAGGAAAATATTGAAATTATGGTAACTGTGAAAGAGTCTGAGATGAAAGCCCTAAAAATCATGTTATGTTTGTTGACATTTTTTCTACATCGAATTTGGCTAGAGTATATATAGGATACTAAATTGTGTCGAGTCTGGGTGTTTGTGGTACCGGCCTTGTTTCCGATTTCACAAGTGCTTTAGTTACTTACTTGTGATCAGAACAACGAATGTCGTGTTGTCTAATGATACAAAGATCGAAGACAATTCCTTGGATCTTACTGGACTCGAATCAAGGCAACAGACACTGGTTCGATTCCAGACAAATCGAAGGAATTTTTCAAAGTGCTCCATCTTATGTTTCAAACTGTAAGTGCATTGGTCAGTGACGATAACACATATAAGAATCTGTTAGAATATGCAAGTAACTAAAGTCTGTTTCAATCCATTTTGAACAAAAGTAAACAAAACTGTTTGGTTGAAATTCTAAAGCAATCACTTAATAAACCCAATAAATAACACTCTCACGTATATTTCGAAGATTTCGACTTGATATGTCATCACTTTTTCCAACAATATTCATTTGAATAGCATCGTAAAATCGTATTTCAAAAATAGTAGTTCAAAAGTGAGGTCATGGCATGTAATCTTCAAATAAAAAATCTGAACTTCAAGTCTATGATTTTATCTGTGGTTCACATATCATAAGTGACAGTTCCCTCTTCTCCCCCTTTCCGCTGGTCCCCCGTTATGGCAGTTGGTGGACGCCATACTTGTTTTTTGCAAACCAACGACACTACGCGCCCGCCATTACAGTTTTGAAGTTGATCGAGTAAAGTTTTGCGTTGATTCATTTCCGTAACTTGTCCTCTCAATCTTAAAGCTGTAATAATCCTTTGCACCATGTACAACAAGTGCTGTGTTGTGAATTGTGCTAGTACACGGAAGGACGTCAGTTTTCATATGTTTTCAAAAAGTCAGATAGGACTCCAAAACTGGTTACAGAGTTTAAACTGTGAAAAATTGCGAAGCTTGAGTTTCCAAGAACTTCGCAAACACTTAGTGTGTGCTAAACATTTTGAGAAAAGGTTTTTCGCATCGACACGCGATAGAGTCCGTCTTTGTCCCGACGCCTATCCATCATTGTTTTCTGATAGCGAGATATCCAGTGGTATTCCTCAATTTTGTGCGTTGACGGTCCATACAAGAGGTAAATATATAAAATAATCTTTGTAATCATTTATAATGATAATATGTGAGGAACGAATATATCGCGACCTCGATGGCCTAACGGTTTACATTGTGGGCGCTGGATGAAAGATCCCGGGTTCGATTCCCGGTAAAATCAATTTGGGATATGAACTTTTTTAAATTGGTTCTGCTTTGGGTGTTCTGTTAAGTGCCTCAGGTTTTCGTTGCTCTGGCTTGTAGTACAGACAGCTCCCTAGTTCGAGACTAGGCAATTGGTGTGGTTGTCAAAAAAACCACACAGGTATATTTATACTAATGCTGCTACTGTTGAAGATACATGAAAACATAGTTGTGATTATGTTTTATTTCAGAGGATGTTAAACCTGACCATAGTTATGGTAGTAAACGTAAACATATTGATCAAACTTATTGTTTACCATGTGACCCAGAGAAACAATCTAAAATTGGCTCCGGTGAGTGGTACATTTATTAATATTAAAGCAAGCTGGCAGTCCTGCTGGCTTATTTGTCAAATCAGAGATGATAAAGCATCACCTACACTGATTTAGTTGTTCTCAATTAAAAAGCCCATTTGCAGACAAATAAGATGACATTTTATAAATATAATATGGTGTTTTATGTAAATATCCAATAATATAAATATATCTTGCAAAAAGTAACCCACTACACCTCACCATACCATGCAAATGATATATATCTTTTACAATATGATTGCTGCTTAATACTGTGATGTGAATTTAATTTCCTTTTTTACTTGAGTTTTTCATGTGTAACTGTAACCCCGCAAGTTGTAAACCACAAGTGGCATTCAAAGGGTAACTTATTATTTATAGAAAATTATTTGTATTCGAAACTATTATATTTTAAAACTATGTCATCCATTTTAATTGAATACCTGTTTAAATTCCAGAAACAGCTGTAATTTTAACTTATGCTGAAGACTCAAACAAGCCTTCTACATTGAGATGTCTTGATGGAAATGAAGTTGTAACAAGGAAACCAATAAATAGTAAGTGAAAATTATGTGTGATTGTTTGATTAATATACTGGAATACTTTCTGAGCCAAGAAACATATATTTATTACTAACTAGTGTTTGAACAAATAGATTTATTGTTTTTTTTTGTTTACAGATTAAGTTGTGCATTGCACTCCTAAAATAAAGAGAAGACATCGAGTTGTCTCCTTGAGGAAAAAGTTGTCACCACACTGTGCATAACTTTACAAAGGATATACGAAATCACGACGACAACTCAATTTCCATGTCCGAGCTACATGTTATTAATAAGATTTTAAAAGGCACAGTTTGTTAGGTTACAAAACAAATTATGAGCTTTTAGTAAATATAAAACTAAGTTAAAAAATAAGAAAATTAATTAATAATAAGAAACATATTGTCTTTTTTGTAGCAAACTTCCTTTGACGCCACATTTATTTTTACACATTTTTTAATATAGATTAACCCCCAGGCCAAAACTCAGTTGATGGCCAAAACGCAAGTATCCATTGTCAAAAGTATTGCGTATTTATAAAAACAAAAAAAACTGTCATGTATGATATGTGAGGCCAAATTGTGTCGATTTTTGCTCTATGGGAGTGCCCTATCTGATGCGTTAGCATCTAATAGTCTGTGAGTGAGGTGCATCTATACATCTATGACTTGTCTATGGTTGCACAGTGCTGTACGAAAAAAAAACACTCGGTTCATTCAATTAAAGTTTCTGTAAACGAATAATAAATCGAATATTTCAATCGCAATCGAACGAGTATCTAAGTGTAAGGATTTGAAGGATTTAAAATTAAGATTTCGCAAAATTTTAAATATTCTTATACAGGTTATGTAAGGAAAACCGCTAGTATGACTCCATTGAACAAAAAGATTCATTCAATTAATTGAACGATTTGTAGTTGGCATTACAATTGGCCATTACTAAACCGTTAACTTGTTTGTTTACGTTTTGTTCAAAATGGATTGACGAAGTATATTATATCTAAATCACGGTTATTAATATAGACCGAACACATAGAAAAACTTTTTAGGCCCGATGGGATATGAACCCACAACCATACTGCACCGTAGTATTGCTCTTGCTAACTGAGCTACGTGTCAAGTTGTCGAGTTGTCAAAATGTTCCTATGTGTTTTTGTTAAAGATCCTTGCAACTGGATCTTTCGGCGTTTTGAGCCACTAGTGATATACAGTGAGAGATTTTGGAACTTTCTTCACTGCATCCAGCACTGTTAGAGGTGCTTAATCTGACAAATTTAGCCGGATTTACATTTGTCTAACGTGTCATGTCGTGACGCGTCAAAACGGTGTCGGTTTCTTACATTCAATATGGTTAGATTTATATCAGTGTGTCGCATGAATGGAACTGGCATATATATTGTACAAATGTTCCTAAATAAATAGAGATTTAAAAAACTCTTACTTGTATCGAAAATTAGTGCAATTCACATCGCTGAACAGAGTCCGTTCAGTCGGATCTCCTTTCGTTCGCACGGTGAGGTTCATCCGCGCGTGAGACGAGCACGTGATGCTGAAGTCCGCGTCTACGTCCGGCTTCACGGGCGCGTTGCGGAAATTGATTGCGGATAAGTGTCGGTCTTCTTTTTTTGACAGGTTAAACGTGAATTGGTAGTCTACTGCTAGGTCATCTGAGGAAGGTAAAAGGTATATTAACATAACGACTGGTGACATGTAGTCTATTGGACTTTAAAAAAATCTTTGTATATACACACATCAAAAATTTAAACGTGGCCGGACGGTTATCATGCTGGACTGCCACGAAGAAGTCCCGGATTCGATTCCCGGGTCGGGAGAAATATTTGCATGGCCTACATTTATTTTTATCGTGAGTTTGGGTGTAATTTGTATTTGTCTAAGGGTCGTATTCCAGAACTCTGGGTCAATGCTCAAGTCAGAACTTGAGTATGATTCCAAGCACTGGAAATACGACCCTAATGGCAAGAACTTGAGTATGATTTCTAGTGCTTTAAATCATACTCAAGTCCTGACTTGAGCATTGAGTAGAGTTCTGGAATACGACCCTAAATGTGTGTCCATGGCACCCGCGGTACAAACAAATATACGCGATTTAAATCCGGAAAAATAGTTTCATTTCCTATAATAATTGTAGATATTTAATGCTTCGTTTAGCACTACACCTGTTACGGATAGGCGTGTCGCTTACCACCACGCCTACGACTTTATTCATTACGTCACTTCGTACTATAAAAACAAAACCGACCACAAAAGTGTGCTTACCGCCTTTTTTAATGGATTTACATCTATTTGTCAAGTTTTATTGGCATCGGTTAACGAAAAGTGCGTGAAACCAGATTCATCCCCTAGCTTGCCACCCTTAGAGGAACATTTTCTTCAAATTTATATGGGATCAATACTGAGGTACCCTCTTTCCAATAAAAAAAAAAGAATCATCAAAATCGGTCCACAAATACGTAAATGGGTAATCGCGCAACACACACACACACACACACACACAAAAATACAGTCGAATTGAGAACCTCCTCCTTTTTCTGAAGTCTGTAAACAATAAATCAAGGGGAAGGTTATACTGAAAAGGGGGTCGTGGTCCACAGATATTTCGATTAGGTTGAAATATTAAACTAAACTCTGAGATGAAAACAAAGTCCAAAAATGTAAACAAAGGTGATGCCATTACAAAAAAATATTTTACAAATAGTGGAACAGTGAAAAAGGCTAAAAGTTAATGCAAGATGATTTATACTGTTTTCAAATTGTGTGCATGTACAAACAAAAAATTATCAAATATCATATTATAAATAAATAAAAATATATATTATAAATATCATATCATAATATCATATTTATTATTTAGACACCATATTTAATAAGATAATCTCAAAAAACTATTTCCTATGGAAAGATTTTTTTATCCCTATGGCAAAGTTTCGGGGATAAACAACCTTAGGTTGTTATAATTATTAACACTCAGAAAAAATTCCTTCGATCCGGCCGGATTCGAACCGATGTCTTCTAGCATACCGTGCCAGACGCTATACCAACTAAGCCACGGAACGAACCAGCGGACCTCACAAATTTTTTTACGTGCTTGGGTCGTGTCTTTGTATTTGGTTTTTCAACGACTTTTTAGTCGTAGCGCCATCTATTAGAAATCTATGACAGATTTATCACCCAGTTAGTACCTTTATAGCTGCCAGTCCTGGCGAGAGATGTCGCTATTCGCTGTATTTAAAATTTTTATTGAATTGATATTCAATTATTTTTTGTGAAATTACACCACTAGTTTGTTATAATTATCAATACAAAGGGGTAATTTCACAAAAAATAATTGAATATCAATACAATAAAAATTTAAAACCTTTGGTTGTCCTATTTCGATTTTTTATTTTTATTTGTTATATGTTAACGAGTTATTAAGCACGAGTGTTTATTGCTATAATACTAATTAATGCTTTTTTATTAACAATAATACAATTAAAATAAGAAACTGGTTCTTCACTATATAGTGTTAATTAGAATGAATGAAAAAATGAAGTCAGTTTTTGATTTTGCTCATTCTTCTCAGGGGAATCTGCCTTACGAATGAGCGGTAGAGTTTAACCATTGTGACGATTTCAAGTGTAATAATGCTTACCTATGAAATAAAGATTATTTTGAATTTTGAATTTGAATCGATAGGGATGAATAATGAGTCGGATTGCATCCAGCAGTGCAGTCACCGATTTTCTTCGTTAGGTTTCTGGCGACTGTCGTTATGGAATTAACTTCCTTGTTGCGTATGCGTCATGTTGTTGGGTCCTTGTGTTTAATTTTCGTTTGTTGTTATTTTTTTGTTAAGTTTTGGTTTTACTCTCTTGTTATGTACGTGTGAACATAACCACAATGGAGGCAGAAAAACGACCACGCCCTGCAATGTCCGTAACCGAGACATACATACATACATTTCAAACCTGGCAACTAAATGAATATTGGTCTTTGTGCGAGTGTGTCAATAAAACCGCTGAGATTTTGGGGATATCTCATATCGGAAAGAACCGTTCAAAGAACAGTTTGCTTGAGTAAAAACAAAAGACAATATTTGACATGTTAGCCACTGACATCGAAAACAAAACATGTTCCCGGTATAAAGAATATTCTAAAATGTTTCTTTTCCGTAATTTTATATGGGCCGTGACCCTTCTCAATTCTTCGTAATTTTTGAATTGAAAATATTTTATGACACAATGATTCTAAAAAGTTTTGTAAAATGTTCAACCCAAAAGGGTATTTTTCCATTGATACTAGTCAGAATAGTGTAACCTCTTAATAAACGAATATGGAAAAAAAGGTTTATTATGATCTACGATGAGATGTCACTTGACAGTGACAGTTGTTTGTTTACATTTTTGGACTTCGACTCCATCTCAAGTTTAAGGCAATAGTGACTCACAATAGCAAGCGCCTTTGTTGTACACATCGGCGTGGTAATGATTTGTGTTATCACACTTGTCACATCGGTCCCCAGCGAGGCCCTTGGTGCTGCAAAAGCACCTGCCCGTGTCCGGAGCACACGCCACTGCTTGTGAATTGCATTCGCATGCTGGAATATACAAAGCGTTATTTTATTCTTTCTTTATCATTGGAAGATAATAGTAGTTTATGTGACTGTTACATAGTGAAAGGCAATTAAAATACGAGTGTGTAAATGCCTAATTATTTACAGTTACATACACTGCTTTATCTACACACATATTATAAGCTTTTTATGATGTCAGGAACCGCACGTTACTGTATTTTCTCATGCATGTTACATAACCGTAGTTTTTTTTATTATTATTAAGTTTGGCTTGGATACAAGTCCATTGAGCCATATATTAGTTTTTACTTATCTAGTGTTTTATTCACTATATAGTTAAAATAAGAATAATCTTTGTAATAGCTGTACTTGTAACTTCAAAAGCCCGCCATTTTTTTCGTAGTTTTTATTTAATTCATTCATCATCACATCGTTCGATATCAAGTGACGTGTAAAATTTCTCAAAATTGTTCGCTATTGGCATTTCATTTGGAATAAAACTTCATCTCGACTGATATTAGAATTGAGGTCGAATCAAATTGTTTTGTTTTTCAAAGATGTTCGAAATTAGAATGTTATAATAAAATTGAATTCGATGTTATTATTACGCAATAATAACATTTTCACAGATAAGAAATTTGTTATAACAAATCATAGAGGGTTTATGATACGTGTGTAGATAAAACATTAAAAGAAAATTGAATTAGAAATTTTCGATGAAGGAAAACATTGAGAGGAAACCAGTGTGAAGCTCCCAGTACGCATTGGGCCCGCGCGGGAACTGGGAACTACAGCCCAAGCTCTGTCATTGTGAGAGTAGGTCTGTCCCCAGCAGTGGGACTATGCAGATTAATTTTTAAAATACTAACACCTTGTAGGACTAAATTACTAACATCATAAACAACAACTTTTGTTCCATGACTTTTGACCAAACATGACAAATTTACCAAACGCGCACGCGCACGCACGCAAGCTTGTGCGAGCGTGTGCGTGTAGGCTAACTATTATTATTATTAATCTTAGACATTATTTGTTATTTTGATGCCACCAGCTGAAAAGTGGTGGGGCCTTTACGTCGCAGCCCTTATACTCACGTGTACAAACGCCCCCGTTGAGCGGGTTGCCCCAGTGGCCGGGCGCGCAGGCCTCGCAGTGGTCGCCCACGGTGCGGCCCGCGCACGGCTGCATGCAGCGCGCCTGCGCGTCGCAGTACGAGTGCCCGTTGCACTGGCATGCGGGGCACTTCGTGAAGTGCCATCTGGATGGTATAGTAGATGACGGTTCTCAATCTCAATACGAACGTCGGTGACAGGCCATACTAGATCGAAATAGCAGTTCACTATCCAAGTAAATACTAATAAAAAAAAAATTTGAAGAGTATTTGCGTGTGTATATTTATTTCGACTCAAAAAGGTTGTTTTCTAATTAACCAATCAATTTTTACCCACAATACAACATCCTACACTCTGAGATGGAATTAAAGTCCAAAAATGGATAATCACAAAAAAAAATATTTTAAGCATCATGGAAACGTGAAAAGGTCTAAAAAAATAATACAAGATGTTTTATATTGTTCTTAAATTGATATGGATATAACTGATCAAGTTGTTGGGTTGCATCCCGAACTATAATCATCGATATCAAAATCAAAATAATATATATAGAGCTTATGCTCCTAATATTAGGGGTTAAAGTATGAAATTGCCGTTTTATTTTCAATAGGTTCTTTGAATTTTCATAGAATCTTCATGGTTTGAGGTTTTCGAATGAAACTTTTTTCAAATGGTTTCTGTGATTTTTTTTTTTTTAATTTGAAACATTTGAATATCGACTTTCAATTGTTTTTGTTATTCAATTTAGACAAGAAAGATGGATACTGCGAAAATTCGAGTGATTTTTGAATACGAGTTCCGACGCGGAACTAACGCGGCAGAAACAGCCCGCAATATCAATGCTGCGTTTGGAGAGGGGTATACTAATGAACGCACCGTGCGATTTTGGTTTAAATGCTTTCGTGATGGAAATTTCGACTTAAAGAACGAGTCACGAGGAAGACCGCCCACATAGGTGAATAACGATGAATTAAGAGAGATAGTGGAAGCCGATCCTAGTCAAACTACCCAGGAATTAGCGGCATGGTTTAACGTTACCTTACCCACAATATTGACTCACTTGCGTCAAATCAATAAAATAAAAAAATACGAAAAATGGGTGCCTCATGATTTGACTGATCTGCAGAAAGAAACGCGTGTTGAAACTTGTGTTGCCTTGTTGAACCGGTACAGAAATGAAGGAATATTGGATCGAATTGTAACATGTGATGAAAAGTGGATTCTTTATGATAACCGGAAAAGAAAAATGCAATGGCTGACCCCAGGTCAAATGCCACAACAGTGTCCTAAAGCAAAACTTACCAATAAAAAGGTAATGGTAACTGTTTGGTGGTCTCAGCATGGTGTTATTCACTATAGTTTTCTCCGATCTGGTCAAGCAATAACGGCAGATGTCTATTGTGCCGAACTCCGAACCATGTTGACAAAACTAGCAGTAAAACAGCCCCGACTCATGAATCGATCTTCACCATTATTGCTCCACGACAACGCGAGACCTCACACAGCACGAGAAACCATTTTGACCCTTCAGGAACTGCAGTTAGAAACCATTCGTCATCCTCCGTATTCACCAGACCTTGCTCCAACGGACTACCATTTTTTTCGTGATTTGGACAATTATCTACGTGACAAGAAGTTTTCTTCCCAGGAGGCAGTACAAAATGCTTTCACACAGTTTGTGCAGTCTAGATCGTCGGAGTTCTATCGCAAAGGCATTAATAACCTTCCCATTAGATGGCAGCAATGTATAGATAATAATGGCAACTATTTTGATTAAATAAATTTGTTAAAAATTTAAAAAATAAACAATTTAGATTTTCAGTACAAATCGGCAATTTCATACTTTAACCCCTATTATTAAAAAGATTATTTTCCGCTGAGCCTGGAATAATCTTCTAGTGGCCGTGGCCCTGGTTTTCTCATAAATTCTCAATTGAAAATATTTTTGTTTGATGTTATCGAATACCTTTAACGTAAGCGTTTGGCGACACGCGCCGCCGACCACATTACACGCCGACACTTTAGTGCATTACAACAAGTCGTATAGATTGGGTGCATCCATAACATTATTTAACATTTAACATAACATTTACTATTTTGAACTATAAACTTCATAAACTTAACCGGTGTTTCCACGATCGACAACAACAATCACCACTACCCCGAACAATTTTATTACTAAAAACTATTGTAAAAAGTTATGTAAGTTGTTTAACACAAAAGGTACTCGTATATAAATAAAGGAATCCGAAAAAAGCTTTATGATCAATGAGATGTAAGTTTGATAGTGAAAGTTATTTCTCGGGTACTCTACTCTCTAAACTCGGGCAGCAGAAGCAGTCGTGTTGAATGCACACACAACTACTCATTGCCAATACAGCCAACTGTTAGTGCTGTTTGCCTGTAGTTGTGGCGTACTAGCGCCGACTGCATCCGAGCTCCTATCCTGCTGTGCTTACACCTTTACAATATTGTGGTAGACTGATGTTTAGTCTCAGGGCCTTTGTTTTAATCCCTCTTCTTTTGAGAATATCAGGTTATTCGATGACACAATATTCCTTACTTACAATTGGTTTTAACTCTCATATACATTGCTACCTTCATGGTACAACAACACACTCATAGCCCCGCACTAGGGAAACCCTGTATCGAGGGTGCATGGACACACGCATAGACAACCACAAATTATACCCAAACTCACGGAAGAAATAAATGTAGGCCATACTTATTTCTCCCGGCGTGGGAATCGAACCCAGGACCTCTGTGTGGCAGTCCGGCATGGTAACCGTTCGGCCACGTAGGCAGTTAACATAGAATATAGTTACTGATAATCCTAATTATGAATAAGCTTTTATATCTAAATTCTCCTCTCTGAGATGTGTTAAAAAATATTACTAAATCGTTTTAATAATAAATTCACTGTGTGTACTTTGTACACTTTGTTTTGACGCATATGGGTTGGTCATCGAATATATAACCAGAAATAGAGACGAAATAAGGGCCATCCGCCCCTGGCAACTCATGAGGAAAATTGGACTTATATCACTTTTAAATATCAACCCTCGTTTGCACTATAAATAATGCTGAGGATATCAATTAATTCCTCTTTAGTATGAGAATATATAAGGAGGCAGTTTTTTCTTTGTAATATCGCAACCCTGATGGAAGAATGGTATAGGTGGAGTCACGTCATAAACGTTTATTGCTTTATTAGATACAGAAAAAATTAACCCACATCCTCTCCAATCCTTCTTGTAACTGTATCGACTAATATTGTAGAGTCAGAGTTACAAGAATTGGAGAGGACGTGGGTTATATTATTCTGTATCTAATGGAGCAATAAACATGTTTGACGTAACTCCACTTACACCATTCTTCCATGAGGGGTGCGATATTATTCAAATATTGACCATGAGCTAAAATTATTTTCTGAACTTTAACAAATATGCGTGTTAATAGATGGCATAGTGTGTTAAAAACTAATTTATAAATTTAACGCTTGCCAGTATGGGTAGATGGCGGTAAACTTAAAAGAATACAACAGTACAATTTAAAAGAATAGCCGGCAGTACGCATAAAAATCTGTGTAATAAGCGCCATCTAATTCATTTGTTTGTTATCATTAGAAATTAGAGTAGCTTTGATAAATTGTAGTTCATCAATGTGAAACAAATTAGTGACAAAAATAGCTATTTGGTACTAATCGCGACATCTGGTGTACCAAAAGGTACTAAATACCCGACTACGCCGCCTTGTACCGCGATTAGCAGTACCCTTGAATACACATGCACATAAAACTTTTTACGCAACAAATACAAAAAAACATCGAACCTATGCGGAACACATAAATGCTGCTGATGCGGCCTCCTCGCACCCCCCGCCAAGCAAGTCCCTCGCCCACCCCCGCTCCCATCATCACACCACCCACACGCCGGCTCACTTCTACATGAGGAACAAGACACGTGGGCCCCACATCCCGCGCTGGTGGATCCAGCTGCTCCGCAAGTCGAAGACCCCCCACTTGTGGACCAGGCTCGACAACCGCCTAGAGGAAACGACGCGCCATATGCATTCTGAAATAAATTATTACTATTTTATTGTATGTTCACAAACCTACAGTCGACTGCATGAAATGTATACAAGTAAATGTATAATAATGAAAATCTTTATTGGAATAAAATATTTTGTGCAAAAAATGGGCAAACAATAAGAATGATTCAACAGATGGAGATTATAATCATTGCATTACAGGGTCACATTCTTTTATTTCACAATACTTTAGGGAATGGTTTAAACCAATTTTACTCTGGAGAACATCTCTCATTATTAGACTGTAATTTCGTTACGTGGATGCGTGTTGACATAGGCTATCGTATGTCATTTATGAGATGCTTAGCCAGTATGTCGTACGTAGGCCGTCTTAGGGGGTTATAGGTGTATTTCAGAAACGACACAACACCATCCATGCTAAATCATGAGCACTAAAACAATCACTCGTTGTAATCATAATAATGCATTAAAGACGGTTTGAATTAAAAATTGTATCTAATAACCGAGTATATAACTGAAATTGAAAACTATTCTGCCAAATCACTACTGCGACAACTGCGCTCCGATTGGCCAGCCCGAATTCCAAACAATTGACGGGTGTCGTCAATTGTTTCACTTCAAATCTACCAATTTAACTTGAGCTCTGCTGTAATGGACGAAAATTGAAACGATGAAATGGGATTCCGTTTGTTTTGTAATTAGATGTTTTGCTGTTTTCCCCACACCACCGAATGGAACAGCCCCCTTTGCTAGAGATATTATCTTTATTATAATAAATACAGAATATTTTTCGAACATACTGAGACGAACACACAGGTCAGTTGTTGGCGCCGTACTATTTCAGCTTTCTAATTTGTGATTTCAGCGCAAACGAGAGTTGATATTTAAAAGTGATATCAGTACCATTTGACTGATGAGTTGCCTGGGATGGATGGCCCTTACTTGGTCTCTATTTCTGGTTATATACTCGATGTATCTAATCTACAAAAATATATTGTAAAAAATATGTTTGGTTAATTTTGAAATCGATCCGAAGATGTAAACCGACATCTATACACGCACATTTACACCGCCACTAATATCGAAGATAAGATGGTGGCTCTGTGCTCTCAGAGATCAGATATTGTGGCGTTACCTTGTCCACGCATCGACCAGCCGAGGCGCACCATATGCATTCCTCATTGGTACAGTTGGCGCATGTCTGGAACGTCGAACATGGAGCACTGCACGGGCCCGCTGACGTCACGCTCCTATATTTATTTGTTATATGGACAACAAAATTGATAACAATCAAATTACATTGATAAATCGACTGTGAACTGGCAACCGGTACTATCTCAATTTTGACAACTTTACACAATGAAGAAAAAAATTGTTTGCGTCATTTATATAGCATCTGGTTTATTAAATAAAAACACATGGTGTGTGTGTAATAAAAATATTTAAAAACTACGTACTCTCATTTAATAAATCAGATGCTATATAAATGAAGCAAACAATTTTTTTCTTCATCCTTGTAAAGTTGTCAAAATTGAGATAGTACCGACTGCCACTTCACAGTCGAAATGTCAAAATATGATATCATAAAATGCTGTGTCAGATTGTTATCCAACATAAGTTGACATATCCTAGTAATGTAACAAGAAAGATTTATATTAAGAATTAGTTAATAATTTACATAATACTAATGCGACATGGATGGTAGCCTAGTGGTGTGACCCACCGCCTATCAAGCATGGCCATGGTTGATTCGAATCCGGGGTCTAATGAGTCTCTCGGAATTTATATGCGAATTTAATTTGAAATTTACCATTAGCTTTTCGGTGAAGGACACTTTCAAAATAATATAGCGTAATGTACTGATGTTATAATTATTATACCTTATGTCATCAGATGAATTGACTGGCCGACATTTTATTGTGTCGTAATCCCAATAACACGCCTTTTGACTGGGTTCTTCATTACCCTGTAAAGTGAACAAAACTCGGTACGGTCAGTACACGAACACATGTAACTCTTATTTATATTTCTTTTATTTAAAATAGTAATACTCACATGCATAGTATGATGATGTTGGTGTGCGTGACAGGCTGCGCAGGAGTGGTACCGGCCGCACGCTTCGCGGGGCGACTCGTCGTTGGTGCTGCATTCGTCGATGGACAGCGCCATCTGTTGGGCAACGGTTAACAACGCGTAAGCACCAGCAATGGCTGAAACAGCATTGGTTCTGAAAGAACGACAAGCGTGCGTTATACCTGGTGCGTGTGCTTGACGCAGTACTGCGGCGCGGAGAGGCAGGCGCCGCACCACGCGCAGCCCGCCGCCGCGCATGCGCCACACGACCCGGCCAGCACGCAGCGGCTCTCGTCTGGAGGAACGTAAGCACTCGTTTTTAAAAGACAATAGAAATTCATATTCTTTCCCTACAATATAATTAAAACTAAACGGTGATAAAAATTTTAAAATTATTACTCCTCACACTATTGTGGGACCACATTGAATTTAAATGCAGTTTACAGGTGCATACAAACTTACCAAACACTGGTTCATTAGTACAAGCTTTTACAGTCCCATCAAATGACTCTTTCCAGCCGACTTCTTCGATCTGTAACCAGAAATAAAATCAAAATTAAATTAAATAACATTTTTGTGTAATTTCTCACGTAAAACTATAAATATTATGGTAATGTATTAACACACTGAATGCAATTTATGAATAGCCATTGAATAAACGATGCTTTCCTGTATCGATTTACCTCGATCTGTGCGTCGCATCGCCAAGCCGGTATTATTATTATTTTTTAATAATACCTAGCGACGAGACGAACAAGTGGTGCGTCTGGTGTTAAGCTACATGCCTGTCCATGACATTTGCAGTACCACTCAGTGCTTTAAATCGCAAAGATGTGAGGGGCACTGCCACTGAGCCCGTCACTCTGGGACATAAGTTGACAATTCCCATGTGCCCTTCAAAACCGGAAAGGCAGTAATGCTCACATTACCGCTTGGCGGTAGAAATAGGTACGGTTACAGTATTATCCTGGATGAACGGTTTCACAAGGAGCTCGACAGCTACTAAACTACTATATTATGATCCCTACTCGCTCGTTTCCTTTCATAGGAATAGGATTGCAAAGAAAAGATTTCAATGCCAGTCTGGGTAAGCACATGTTGTACAGAGTATTATGGCCTATTCTGTGGTCTCGAGAAATAGTGACATTATCTTCTACTGATACCAGAAACTTTCGTGTGAAAAGTCCACACCAGCGCAGCATTACAGGGCTCAGCAGTAAGTGGTCAACAAGTCCGTACCGGCGCACAAACGCGTTCGTGCGATCGCCACGCGCAAGCGACAGCCGCGAACTGCGCGCTGCCGAGACACGACGCTTCGGTTTTGTGGGACGAGCACTTGTCGCCGGTCTCGAAGGTCAGAGCGTCCGAGCGGAGGCGCCCGTCGAAACTGGAATAAAGTTCGAGTTCTTAGGTTTTCGCGATTGTTACACATAGGAAATGAAACTATTTTTCCGGATTTAAATCGCGTATATTTGTTTTTTCAAACAAACCGACGTTTCGGGCCCTTTACAGGTCCCATGGTCACGGTTGACTGACTAGGTTGACTGACTGACAGTCAACCGTGACCATGGGACCTGTAAAGGGCCCGAAACGTCGGTTTGTTTGAAAAAACAAATATACGCGATTTAAATCCGGAAAAATAGTTTCATTTCCTATCTGGAATAAAGTTAATAATTATAACAAAAAAGTTTACGTTTTGTATTAAGCAACATTACGTAGAAAGATACACGGATTTTTTCCGTCAAGATTAAGCAAAAAGTTTTATGCTCGAAAAATCTGAGCGTATATTTCGCATAAACTTGCAGTGTAAAAAAAACTAAACATTTGCAATTTGACTATTACCAAATTAATTGATTAAATTAAATTTATGAATTCAAATTCTGCAGTATTTTTAGAATTTCGAAATTATTGATTTTATATTTACTACATTGTGGCTGAATGCATCTGTGCTTTTTATGTTTTAGTGTTTAAAAAAAAGCAAAGAAACCCGCGATTTGCAAAAGCCGTAAATGTTGCGTTGGGAAGCAATATAACAATAACAATATACAAAGCATGGTAACCGCTCGGCCACGGAGGCAGTTATGGATATATAACAAGTGACATTATATGATCCCATGCAACCACGAATGACATACTATGAATGACATAATTCACTAATGACAGCGCCGTTAACTACATCTGTTCTGTTAAGAGCAGAGATAGACAATCGTCCGGGTTTTAACCCGGCGCTTCATTAACACCGGGTTTAAATCGGGTTAAAACCGATTAATGCCCGAAATCGAAGGCAAAACCTATTTACAACAAAATATTTGTTGTTTATTACTTTCTGACCTAGACGATTCACCTTTCTGTTAAATCGGTTCGCTTGAAAATCGCATTGATATAAATCGATCCAAAAAAAATGTTAGATCGTATCGATCGATCATTTGAATCGGTTTTCATAAAAATCGAATCGTAATGTGCATCCTTAGTAGTAAAGTCCACAGGATTGCAAGGTGTATTTTGGTAGAAATGGTTTAAAACCGCGTTTTGCGTAAACACCCGGGCGGGTTGATTGGGTATTAACCCGGGCTGTGGATCTGGTTAAGAGCGAAACGACCAAGACCTGCAACTTCACAGTACTTTAATCGATGATTACTTTTACGCTTACCCGCCATAAATGACGGCAGTGCGTCTCGTTCTTCGCGGCAACAACGCAGCCGCGTGCGCAGCTCTCGCCGCGCCTGGAGGTGTAGTCGTCGATCGCCATAGCGAACACCTGAGAAGGAAGTGTTCGTACATTGATATGTCTTGTTTACGAGCCACAGATTCAAAGATTGTAATGATTGTTACTCAATCAGACCGAAAGTTTCAAAATTAAACTCAAGTATAGAACGAAGACCTGTTTTCCAGCAACCAATAATACAGACATAACGAAACGCGATTGGTAGATAATGGATTTTACGTATCCATTATCATGTTTAAACATGGTTATTTGAGGCTATCAGCGCAATAGTGGTGTAACTAACATTGTTTTTTCTACAAAATTACTTTAAATTATACTAAAAAATACTCAATTATTTTATATTTAAATGCTTTTTCATGTATAAAAAATATTTCATTATTAATTTATTTTATAATTAAAATATTTTCATCGCTTACGCTTTCTTTTGCGGCAGTTATCAATTTAAAAATTGTTGTTTTTGTATGAAGAAAGTAAAATGTTATGAATTAAATTTTTATTGAATGTCAGAAATTTTCACCACCATGATATTCAATTATTTTTCGTGAAATTACTCCACTAGTATGTTATAACTATAAATACGAAAGTCGTACACTTAGAAAAAAATCCTTCTATCCGAACCGACGTCTCCTAGCAAATCGTGCCAGACGCTATGCCAACTAATCCACGGAACAAACCAGCGGACCTCATGAATTTCTCTATGTGCTTGTTGTCGGATTTTTGTATTTGGTTTTTCAACGACGACAACGACAACGGCCGGATCAAAGGATTTTTTCTAAGTGTTCCGTATCTTTGAATTAATAATTATTTCAGATGAATTATTAAGTCATCAAGCACAAAAGTTGTTGTTTATGATGTTAGTAACAGTCCTGGGAGGATATTAGTATGTTACAAATAACCCTGTGTATTAAATGTATATATTACGTGGCTTACCTAACATCGTAGAGCATTGCTCCGCTGGAATAGCACCTCGACCCAGCGGGGTTGGTGATGGCGGCCGCCGCACTGTCGTTATGGGCGTTGCCACCAAACACCAACATTATACCTGTCGACATTCGATATGTAAACTATTTCATCACACTTGCTCGTAAGTAGTAATATAACGTGCACCAAAACTAGGCGGTATTTTTATCATTTTAGTAGCAGTAGAGCTCCTTGTGAAAGAGTTCGTCCAGTGTAGTACTGCCATCTTACCTATTTTTGCTGCCAAGCAGTAATGGCAGCATTACTGTGTTCCGGTTTTGAAGGGTAAGGGTGCTGGTGAAATTACAGGCACGTGGGACTAGTCAACTTATGTCTCAGGGTGACGGGCGCAGTGGCTGTGCCCCTCAGACCTTAGCAATTTAAAGCTCTCAGTGGCACTGTAACTGTTATAGACAGGAGTGTAGCTTACCATCAGGCGCACGAATTGCTCGTCCCGTCACTTGATGTTATAAAAAAAAAATCATACTGCCCTTCGACGGTTTTTTTATTTATTTCTATTTACTACAGACGGAGAAAGGAAAAAAATGTAAAATAGAAAAGCACTTGCATGAGTCGCTCAAAAGCGATAACATTTGCACATTTATATATTCTTTCTCGTAACAAATTACCTGGGGAAACGAAAACTGCTGTGTGTAGATATCGAGGCGTAGGCGCCGACGGTAGGGGCCGCCAAATTTTTTTATCCACATCGTATTCGTACAGAGCTGCTGATGGAGCCTGTAACCATAACACAGACTATAATTACTATCTACAAAACGATCATAAGCCTATTACCTCTGCGCCATAATTAATTTGTGGAAACATGTATTGATGAAATGAAAGATGTGTATCAGGATCGTAGAGAGTGGAAGGCTGTGTCTCTGTTTAACTCTACGAGAAAAGTGCGTGACGTATATGTGTGTATGTAAATACAGCTGCAACCATTACGTAACAAACAGATCCTTCAGGGAAGTACCATCACCATACTTATTTCTGCGGCCAAGCATTACTATGAGCATTTCTGCATTCCGGTTTTAAAGGATATAGTGAACCGACAACATATTCAAAACCAAATTAAGTCTCTTATGATTTATGGACTACTACAGTGTGGAGGCAGAGAACTCTCTTTTCCATAATGTAGTACATTCCTGTTAATTTTGTGCTGTGTTTATTTTTTGTTAATTATTGGAAAGAACTAATTATTTGCTACCACCGTAATGGGGTATGTTTGTACTTAATAATTACCTGTGTAATGTCAGTACTAACGTTGTTTGCGATAAATAAATAAAATAAAATAAAAAAGGGCAAGGATGCTGGTGAAATACAGACACATGGGACTTGTCAGTTTAGTGTCTAAATGTGACGGGCCGCAGTAGCAATGCCCCAGAGATATTTGCGGATGAGATCAAAGCTCTGAGTAGCACTGCAACTGTTATAGGTAGCCGTGTTGTTTACTACCAGGCCCACAATTTATTCGTCCCGACACGTGATACCATCAAAAACAAGAGTGACCTAAATACGTCAATACCTACATTACTTGCATTACTTACACTACTTGCATTATTTGATTTACATTTTACATTTTTACTTGATACAAATATAGTTTTAGAGTTAGGTATATGTATTTGCGTGTGATGCACTTTGATGGCATGACTTACTGGGTTCCGATTGTGTTGTTTTTATGCCAGTATCATATGGCGAGATATGGTACAGGTAGAAAACCAGCACTGTTTGACTTCTCACGGTCTACAGTATTTGTCTAGTCAGGGCCATTTCAGCACAAACTGTAGTCATATATTAAATTTTGTTAGTTCTCACAGTGTTTATTTGTTTTTTTCACAGTATGTGTTTTATGTAAATGTCTATTAAATTAATATTGTATGTTCTATGTGCTTTTGTGTTATGCTTTGTGAAGTGATTGTAAATGTTTGTTCCAGTTTGTATTTGTGCTAAATAAACGTGTTATCTATCTATCAACCAAAGGATGGCAAAGTATTTCAAAGAACTATGTCTTCTGCTAACAATCGCAGAAGTAAATAGCTAAGTTCAGAAAGTAACACGTAAGCTACTGATTTGTACTGTCTGTCGTAATGCTAGTACCTGTGTGGCTTCAGATTCGGAGACGAGTCCACCATGCACGTAAACGCGGCGACTGAGGTCGTCCCAAGCAGCGGAGTGGCCGAAACCAGCGCGCGCCGGCCAGCCCCGTGTCGCCACTGCTGACCATGTGTTCTCTTCGATGTAGTACTCCTGTTTTGTTAAATATACTCGTACATTGATGCAAAAAAAAAAACAGCCTTCGTCAAACTACTACTGCAGTCGATCTGCACATATAATTTTGGGACAGTCCCATACCTCATTGCTAATTTAGATTATAGTGCCCCTCACTCCCTATTAACCTTTGGTTATACGCGCTATCTGTGCAAACAAGCCTGCAAAGTCAAGTAATTATCCGAACAGGTCCTGACCCCAAATCAGCCCGTTTATACAGACTTCATCCTTGAGTGAGCGACTCCGGTTGCACGTATAGCAACCTCCCTATTGTAGTTTTAGAACAATATAACGTTATAAACTGTCTATACAGATCCATATTAAAATACTCATGACAATATTACACTGTACACTATACAGTTAATATGGCCCTACTAATTTTAATTATGCAAGTGAATTAAAAGGCTTATTCAGATAATGATTTATATAAAACATGTTTAATAGTGGTGATATAAATATGTCTTTGAATTATTATTATAAATTTACAATACTAATTAAGCAACCTATAAACCTTACCAAATTACAGAGAACCTTATCGCACCATATTTTAAAGCAGGCCATTTGACGTGCCAATATTGTTTGTAATTAAATTATAAGTGAATAAAAGAATGAAATATTCTTTATTGCACATTAAAACATTATGACATTACAGTAACGTATGTATCACAGAATAAGTTAATGTAGAACAGGCGACTTCACTGCGAAGTACCAATTTCTTCCAGGCTAGTTTAGGATAAAAATTTAAGAGTTGAAAAGGGAAAGCAACCAAAGAATATCTTCGAATGAATATAATAAATTGTGACGTATTTACAGGACAATTTGCACGTGCATTTTTTTGTTGTCTGTTACTATTTGACATATTGTTTTAAGCCCAAATTGAGTTTTCCTGTGGTAATTAAAGAGTCATCAATAAAGGTTAAGATTTAATTCATCGTTTAATTTAAATGTTTATAACAATAACTGCTTCAACATGTGCATAATTATTTTCAATAAATTACCAATAAATGAAATTAAATTGTTACAAGGACATACTTTTAAATTACAATTGACAAATGGTTTTTGACACATTGCTTCTACAGTACTAAGGAATACTTAGAATTTACAAATTCATAACATTAATTTGAAACTATAGAGAGAGAGAAAACATTAAATCCCATAAATATTTGCACTTTTTAATAGCAGTAGAGCTTCTTGCGAAAGAGGTCGTCCAGGGAAGTACTGCCACCTTACCTATTTCTGCCGCTAAGAAGTAATGTCAGCATTACTGTGTTCCGGTTTTGAAGGGTAAGGGTGCTGGTGAACTTACAGGCATATGGGACTTGTCAACTTACGTCTCAGAGTGACGGGCGCAATGGCAGTACCCCTCAGATCTTTGGGATTTAAAGCTCTGAGTGGCACTGCAACTGTTACGGACAGGCGTGTAGCTTACCATCAGGCGCACAACTTGTTCGTTACTCGATATTATAAAAAAAAATCTGCTTACAAATTGAATACAATGTACCTAATTTTACTTAAGACCTGATGTATAATTACATTACGGTACGGTACGGTAATCCGTATTCTGGCTAATAAACGTATTCTATTCTATTACGTGTAATGCAACTAACGTACGAACCTGTACGATGTGTAGGTATCCGTAATGAGGGGAATGTCCGAAGAAGACGAGCATGACAGGCTTGCGTGTCACGCCGAGATACACGAGTACCGCCGTGTGACCCGATATGTGGAGGCCCCCTGTAAATTTTGTATACCATGTTAGATATATGAAAAAATACCCTAATTCATAACCAGTGAGTCTATTTTTGCACATTACGTTCTGCAATCAAAATAATTTTAAACGACTAGTTATTATTTCAGCTACAGTTTGTAATTAAATTATAATAGCATATCACTACAAAAATAGTTTATTAGTATTCTCTAAATATTAAACGATAAATATGACGAAAATGCCATTTTCATATGGGTGTTTAATTTTCATATTAATTTTTTGAAAGTAATTTCTTTTACATAAGTGTATTGTCCGCCTACGTGGCCGAACGGTTATCATGCAAGACTGCCAGGCAGAGGTCCCAGGTTCGATTCCCGAGCCGGGAGAAATATTCGCATGGCCTATATTTATTTCTCTCGTGAGTTTGGTGGTAATTTGTGGTTGTTTTTGTGTGTGTTCATGGCACCCGCGACACAGGGTTTCCCTAGTGCGGGGCTATGTTGAGTGTGTGCGTTATTGTTATTTTCGTGATACTATGGAGTATCTAATTGGCTATAGGTTTCTTTCCCTGTTTTTAATAAATGGTAGAAGTTGTTGGCTTTCCATGAATAAATAAATAAATCTATCGAATCGTAGTTTAAGAGAGTTGCCAATTTATTGTTTTTTTTAAAATGTTAAGCTAATTATTTCTTATTAAGTAAATATCGTGGGCCCTATAAGAAGGCTCAAGGTCACTCATCAGCCGGCAATGGAGAGAGCGATGCTCGGTATTTCTTTCTCTACGTGATAGAATCAGAAATGAGGGAATCCGTAGGAGAACTAAGATAACCGACATATCTCGAAGTATTGCTCAGCTGAAGTGGCAGTGGGCGGGGCACATAGCTAGGAGAACCGATGGCCGTTGGGGTGGAAAGGTTCTTCAATGGCGACCGCGCACCAAACGACGCTCAGTGGGTAGGCCCCCCACCAGATGGACCGACGATCAGGTAAAGGTCGCGGGAAGCCGATGGATGCGGGCAGCGCTGGACCGATCGTCGTGGAAATCGTTGGGGGAGGCCTATGCCGAGCAGTGGGCGCTGTATAGCTGAATGATGATGAAGTAAATATCGTAACCTTTTTGGTAAAATTACGCCTGTTCCTTGTGAAAGAGTTCGTCCAGAGAATTACTGTTACCATATCTATTTCTGCAGTGTAAGTAATGTGACCATTACTGTGTTCCGGGCAGTGTTGGGCGTCAATCAATTAAATTTCAATCAGAAATTCAATCAGATTAAAAAATTGACTTCTTAACCCACCCCCTAACCAAACAATGACGGGCAGGGTGACAGAGTCCCTTAGATCTTTGTGATTAACAGTTTTGAGTGGCACTGCACTCACCGGAAACATTATTTTAATATTTTAATATTATGTTATGCAAGGCTGCAAAGTTGTTGTTTGACGCGAGTGCTTGTTTTGAAGCAAGCAAAATAATCTAAGGCTGCCTTTCCACCAGAGATGTGCGAGGTAGCGAGGCGGTGAGAGGATGTGCAGCGGCGCGGTGCGAGGATGCGTTATGGGCTCTTTTCAGCTCTAGTTGCCTCCACCGTTTTGCACACATTCCTCGCCCACATCTCTCGCACACATTCCTCGTACACATCTCTCGCAATTGTGTATGTACAAATGCTTAGCTTCGCTAGGAAAATGTGGTAATCCTATTGGTGGTTTTTTTCTTCGCACACCGCCTCGCTACGTCGCACATCTCTGGTGGAAAGGCAGCCTAACACTCGTTTCCCTCGTGGTTATAAAATAGAATCCTGAGTGTAGCGAGGGTACGTGGTACGAGCCACGAAAACAACTTTGCTGCCGAACGAAACACGCAACTTTTCACCTCACTATAGCGAGGAAAATGGTAGATGAAAGAAAAACAGTTGAACTATAACCAATCAGTTTAATATAAAAATAAACAAAATTAGTTATAGTTGTGTGATTTAATGTCAACAATAATAAGAATAAAATACACCAACGAATTTATATTACATAAATAATGTATGACAAATCGCGCAGTTGAACGGCATGCTTATTGCCGAACATTAGAAACTGGTTGCTAATTGTACAATAGCAACGCAATTGCTACCAGTTGCGATTGCTAAGTTGGTATTACGGATGTAAATCGCAAACTGATTGCTCTCTTGGTTTACATAAAAATAACTATTTTTAAGTAAAATCAGTTGTTACTTACGATTAAGGAGATGAAATAACAATATAATTCGAAAAAGCAATCAATCAACAATCACCAAACAACCACTGTGGCACTAGTTGTCAAAAGTCCGTCGCTAATTGCTCTTGCGTCGCTGTAAATGTCGTTCGGTAATACGAAAAAGCAACCGGTCGCTTTCTGTCAAAGCATTTTCATGCAGTTTTAGTTTATTAGTTGCTCGATAGAGACGCAGTAGTCGATTGGTCTCAATTGTTCGTTCCGTAATACGAATTTATGTTTTGACAGCGATAATCGTGCAACTATTGCTAAAACGACTGGTCGCTAAAGATCGGTAATAAGCCTGCGGGTCATTATCATCGAATGAACTTGACCATCGTCAAGTTCGAATTACAAAAACCTTTTCCACGCTAGCGTGGAAAAACGCCGAGCTTGTGAGGTGAAAAAATATTTTCCAAAACTTACCACAGTGCTTCAAAGGGGCTGATCTGTGTGGCGAACAGGCGGTCGGTGTGGCATTGACCCACTGACGACTCGAGTCAAGCTTGATTCGCCACACTTCATTCGTCACTTCGCCTGCTCTGCCTTCTAAGCCCGCTAGACCACCCCTGTATAAGGAAACCAAGAGAAAATATCAATATTGACAAAGTAACAGTGACTACTATAAGTAGTGGTCGAATCAGATGCTTATTTACCAAATTTTTTTTTATTTACTATTAATAATAATAGTGTGCCAAACAACTACACCAATTGCCTAATCTCAAACTCGGAAATTCCCTGTATTAGGAGTACCAGAACAACTGAATTCATTCTGAGGCACTTTCCAGAACACAAAACCAGAACCAATTAAAAAAAACGTTCATTCCTCTATTGATCCTACCAGGAATCGAACCTGGCAATTCCTCGTCCAACGTCAACAGAATAAACCGTTGGGCCACCAAGGTCGTCACTACTACGCTAGGGACACTGTACAATTTGCCATACTCACTCGTATTGAGTTCTTAGATATTCCACATAGCTAGATTGCTCCACATAGAAAATGAAACTGTTTTTCGAATCTAAAACACGTACATTTGTTTTTTCAATCAAAGCAACGTTTCGAACCCTACATAGGTGAAAGGCGACCGCGACCTCGTAAAATGGTAGAGGCACTGTTGACTCTCAGAAGGTAGACCCTCACCCGCGTTCCGGGTTGTCGGAGGCCACGACGCCCCCGTACAGGATGAGCTCGTGCCCGAACAGCACGGCCGAGTGCGCGAATCGCGCCGCCGGTTGCTCGCCCGCTGTCTCCACAGTCTGCCAGCGTTTCTGGGTAGTCTGGTATCTGTAAATTGTTCGAGGTAACAACCACTTGAAGGCAAAGATAGACAAACCAAAAACAGGCACTGTAATACCTAAATTATGCTCCACAATCTTATAAGCGAATAATAAAAACGAATCAAAATATTTAGGTACTCTTCGAGATTATTAATTATAATATTATCTTTAATATGGCTTAGCCCTTAAAGAAGTGTCTGTACTCATCAATATGAACTAAAGTACCGGCACGCCATGATGGCAGTTTTGACGTTTGTCCGCTTATCAAGTATCGTATTAATTCATAATCACGTTGAAGCTTAAAGGATAGAAAAAAATAAAGAAAAGGAGTTGCCCTAAATACGGAATAAACGTCCCTACCTAAACCAAAAACGTCCACCACAAATGTCGGATTACTTTAGTGTTGTACCATAATCATCGATAAGTCAATATCGACATGCAAATGCATAGCTTGAATATTGAAACTGTTTTTTTTTGTTATGTTTGTAATTTATATTATTTACTGTAATCAAAGTATGATTAAAATGTTTAATTAAAGTAAATCAATATTCATTGTCATATGGAAATATCCGGGATGATAGATATGAGATTTTGAATTTATTATTTTCCATTTATAAATGCTTAAATATTACGAAAAATAATATAAATCAGGAGATCTCTACACATTTCCAATCTCAAGGCTGATATTAGATTTTTTAAAAAGGTTTCCAAATAGTTTAAGCTGTTTTGTATTTATGTATTGGTAACAGCATTTGTTGTCTGCATATTCTGCACTTCAATTAACATTCTAGAAGTATTGTTGGCTGTACTGTTGGCTGTAGAGTAAACAAGTATTCTTGCAATATATATTGGTCGAGCCTAGGCCACCGCGAGCGCAGCAAATTGATATACAGCTAGTGCTGCTGTCTACACGCTCGACAAGTTTGAAAAAGAACATTACAAACGGCCATTGTAGATGAGTTTTGTGTAGCTGCCCACACGTTGGTCGCTGTCAGTTATCATTTTATCATTTACATTGAAACTATATGGATGACAAGTTATTGCAGCTGCTGCTATTTATTATTGGGCGCCTATAATTATTACGTCAATGCATCTAATATATGTTATATAATGTTAGAGTTGTCAGTGGGGAAAAATCGAAACGAGTGGACAGTTTTAAGGAACTGAGAATGTCTAGCAATGTCTCGTGTTTATTCAAAATTAAATATAAAATTATTTACCAATAAATGCGACGATGGAATTTCATTATCATGTAATCTAGTTACTTTCAAAGTTCTATTAAAATTTGACTATTCAAAATGGAGCGAACAAACGAAAATGATATTTGATCAATGTTTATGTTCGGCAATCCTATAATTTCCAACCATTCTTTCTTTTTTCAATTGTAGTTAAAGTTTAAAAATAAAAATAATACTAATGAAAAAATAAAAACCTCGTAGTGAATTGTTTTAATAACAGAATATCGATAATATGTCTGCTTACAAGAACAACACTATCTCAAAATAATCGTTATCAACAATCATCAAATATACTAAGACACAGGTAATATAAAGTAACCAAAGCAAAATTCGGCAAGACTTATGAATAAACTACTTAAATGAGTCTAACTGCATGAGATATTTGGGCTATTGTATGATTTATGGACAAAAAAATAGCACATGCCGGACATGCCGGTGTAATGTAACATTCGGTTGATTTCCGCCTTTTCTACTGCCACAGCGACGCATTTTAAGCAATGGTTAATTGGATTTTGATAAGCAATAAAGTGTCAATCACCATGAACATAGACACATGAACATCTGAAAGCGACCACGCGCCGCAATAGGTGGGGTATAGGGCTCGTATACATATAACGTCTGATTTATATATGTCAATATAACATGTCCTTTAGTTTCCAGTCTCAGCGTTGAAGGAGCTAATTGATGTAAACACGCCAGCACATCAAGCTACACATTGACGTATCTTGTTCCGTTGCACTGGAGGCGATTTTCGTACAAAAATTTGTAATCTGGTGTGCCGTTGTCCGTACATTGTTGTCAATAGTGACGTGCAATAAAATTTATGTATGTATAATTTTACGACACAAGTCGGCATTTGTTTTTCGAAAATCGAAATTTAAAAAAATTAAATAATACGATCGTCACTTATAGGATCGCTGTCCAGCCCAACTTCTATCTCAAGCAAACTCGCGTCAAAGCTCAATGCAAACAGCTGTTTCGAATTGACGAAATACTAAGTTAACCATTTTTATTTTCGTTTTATTAAAACTTTTTAATCAGCTACCCCTTACAATACTAGTTAAAAATCTAAAAACCTATAGATGCGACTCGCATTTGATTATAGTTTTTTCGAATTAATGAGTTGAGATTTGACCTCATTATTGTAATCTGTCAAAACGGCCATCATAGCGTGCCCGTACTGTAATGTACATGCATATACTAGGATTTTTTAAATTGACAGTTATATGTGTCGGAACCGCCATGGTTTAGAACTGAATCTTTAGACACCGTTTAGGCAGATTTACGGATCGCGCAATGAGAATACCTTTAATAGTAAGTTGATATAGCGTCTGGCACGCTAAGCTAGAAGACGTCGTTTCGAATCCGGCCAGATCTAAGGAATTTTTTCTGAGTATTCGATCTTTGTATTAATAATTATAACACTGTATATCTTAACCATTATGAAGTCGAATAACAACTTGTACTTTTTATTAATTTTAACGATCGAAATAGGCACTATGCGAAACGTAGAACAGGCCCATGACGACGACTACCCTACCCGACCGAAAAATGTGTCCAATCGTGCCTGCCAACAACGTCTCGACTCTGTCGAAGCGCGGGAAACGTCGTTGTGCGAACTACACCGCAGAACAATAAATACAGTGATTAGTTAGCATCTGACGCATGCCAACTATAGGTTTCGAAAGACCTATCTGAGCTCTGTCCGCCATTTTCACTTTGTATGGTATGGTTGTGTCATTACTTCGTGCAAATTCACTAAAATCATACAGAATTGCCTTATTGTGCTATTTTGGAGTGCAAAAATGATAGCCGCACCAAAAATATTACCCGAGGTGGTATTTTATATCACCGGAAAGCCTTATTTTAATACACTTTCAATTTTCTGTTTATTGAATTTTTTTTTGTTACAAGAAACGAAAGTAAAGCTTATACCCCTGCAGTATGGTCGCTTCTTGTTTGGAGAACTAAATTAATGACTCCAATTCGTCGTTGTTCTGCAATGAAATTGATAAATGGCAGCACATTGGTTGAAATTTCAATATGATATCTAAATGTCGTAACTTGTAATAATAGGTATTGATGATATTGAACTTTCAGCGTTATGCCAACAGGGTAAAGTTAAAATTATATTAACAATCCAGAATTTGTTATTTCTTTTTTAAATTTGAAACTACGACCAATCAATATCAAGAATTTGTGTGTTGCAAATTAAGAACGTGTGAGTTTTGGCGACATCGACTCTGATAGTAATCGAGCCTTAAGGCACTTCCATTGGTTTTTTTCTTCCGTGGTTTAGTGTTAGTACCCACTACTGTCTCCGACATATGTAAGTCTCTCACCTGTATAAAAATTCACTATCGGAAAACGTCTCCCCGCCAACTCTTAACAAGTCTTCGCCGTACACCAACAGTATATGCCCGGCAACGGCAGGTGGCTGCGTGTCGTCCTGCCTGTCCACTCCCGCGTCCTCCCCCGCTTCCCGCCACGCCCACCCCCACCCCGCGACTGCCGTGTCGCGCCCACAATCGGCGCCCGTCCGTGATGGAGTGCACTCACATCCTCGTGACGTACAAGACCCTGCTCCGTACGCTGCGTTGCAATCGTCTGAAAGCCGATAAAGGATAATCGAACCAAAAAGCAGCGGAAGGACTCATTTTTAAGCACAAAATCCGATCACAAATACTACTTACATTAATGTAATGTAATAATGTTTCAAAAACAGATTAAGTTGACCGGACTACAGAGTACCATGAGATGGTTACCATTAGATAAAATACCTGTATGAAAAGGTTACCTGGACAAAGGGGTTGGTCGCAGGCGACTCCTGTCCAATATGGTTCACACCTGCAAGTTCCATCGTCACATTCACCATGATCTGTAACGCAACAAACGAACAATATATTAGCTTTTGCCTACGGTATCGTCCTTATAACAAAGTGGCTTGGTACAAGAAGTGGTCGTTTTACACTTGAATTTAAAAGTGAATCTGAATGTGTACAGGAGGTACGAGAATAGGGAGTGATAAATATCAAAAAAGTGTTTGTTTGCTGGTCGGTTATATATTCACGCAGATTATTTACAAATTGATCTGCAGCAACATTTGGTTTTGGAGTTTGTTTAAGTCGCATATACTAAGACAGATTTTGCTCTAGGGGAGTGTGGTAAAACTAAACTGACTAAACTAAAATATATCTTTATTTCATAGGCAAACAAATCACATTTGAACTGTCACATTCACTAAACTATACTACTTCGTAAGTGGGATTCTCATGAGAAAAATGAGTAGGAAACTTGCTCTTTGTAAATAAAGGCTTATTGACATTTATCATTATAGTAGATTGTACAACAAGTGCATAAAACGCGTCATTTTACCCGAGACGAGTATATCCGAGCCGCAGGCGAGGGTGGATACTCAAGTCGAGGGTAAAATGGGTTTTATGAACGAGTTATACACTCTGCTTTTCACTTCGATTGCGAGGAAATTAAACAGCAATATTACAGTTAAACGGTTATTTAATTAAAATTGAATGTCAATTCTACATGTGACACAAGGTCGGACTACATAATGCTCAGTTATATTTTACAAGCTTTTATTTTTATGCATTTCCATTTCTTATAAATTACTAGAATTACTATTACCTATTTTTTTAATTTTGTAATATAACACGGATGAAAAAAAAATAAAAGTAAAACTTTATTTTATAAAGTTCCAGTGTGTGTGGCGCAGGCGTCTTAGCCTCGGTCTTAAACGACGATTTTATTTTATGCACTAGTGCATGAAATCCTATTTTCAAAATCCTACACCCAGCATAAATACGAAGAGAGACTTAAGAGCATGAGAAGTGAAAAGCATATTTATTTCAAACATTATCACCGAAACCTGCAAGAGTGAAACGGGAAGCTGTATAATGATCTTTAATATAAAGTTTTTATTTCACTATAGTTTTAAGCTCGTAAATAGCAAATTGTGAATATCAATTGGAATTTCAATAAAGAAGCGACTACATAGCCCTTCAAATGAACTTAGGACTCTGTTAAGACGACATTCAAAAATAACCGGCAGTTTATTTTTAATAATTCTTAGAACAAATAAAAAAATATTAGTGCAATGGTCGTCTGATAGGATGGATAAGTTGCTCGTGAGATTAAATCCGTCAAAGTATATGCATTGTCGAAAAATAAATTGAGTATCATACTACCAGCTAATAATTAACTACTTAATTACTGATAAATAAATTGATTTATTTTTAAAATACTTTAAATTTAAATTTGACAGTCATTTTAAAATTAAATCATTTGATTTTCTGGGTGTATTTGCTTACATTTATTTATTTTTATAGTAATAATATTATAATTAATAATGTTCATGTTAAAATTGACATTGCTGCGCCCTTACAGGGCACATGTCTGATACTTTCCCAACTACTGTAAGACCTAAATGTAACATGTTTTGCAATAAACGATATTACTATTATTATTAACTTACTAGAACAATTGGTGCGATGGTCATCGGAAGGGCAGGAATACGCTGCGTAAGTAAGATTGAATCCCTCCATGGCATATGCGTCATCGGAGAAGAAATGGAGTAACGCACTGCCTGATCGCGCTATCACTTGCCGAGTCCAGCTCGACTCGCCGTTCTCGAGGACGCCACTGAAAAATAGACCTTGTGACTCAGAAAAGAAAAATAAATATTCATTTATTTTATACATAGGAAACGAAACTATTTTTCCGGATACAAATCGCGTATATTTGTTTTTTCAAACACACCAACGTTTCGGGCCCTATACAGGTCCCATGGTCACGGTTAACTGAAGTGGTACAGTCATCAACCAGTTATGTCTAATATTAATGCAAACCACCCTATTTTTTTACTATACTTACAAAAATGATTAATTAAACACCTTATTTTTAATTTTACTAAGAAACATTCCAATTTACGCTACATTATGTTCAACAAATTATTTTATTTTAACAATATGTATTTTTATGAGTTAAATTTATTATTAATTAATAATGGAAATTAGAATAAATTAAAACATATTAATTAGTACTGCAGTCTTATGTCTGTTTGGGATTTTTCATCAGAGGAAATACTTGATCCCAAACTAGTGGTACGGAGAAATCATCTTCCCTTATTTCATACTATTACACAGCATTACAGCAAAATACCAGAGCACTGTGAAATTCATAAATAGACAATTTGTATTAATAATTCACAGAAGATGTCATTCATCCATCCTCTCACAAAACCTCAAACATTCATCACACACAGCAACCTATCCACTGACAAAAACATCAGTCTGGTAGATACGAGAAGCGCATTAAAACAGTGCAGAGTGCGAGCAAGCGGTGATTTACTGAGAGACACAGTGCGCACCGCCGGCACTGCCAGCAGATAATAAACGCGTGGCTGTAGATTAAATTTATTTAGCGGGAGGACGAACAGGCGCACCAGTTGCGCCACTAATTCTGGCCAATCGGGATGTCCTCGCAAGATGCCACCAGCAAAAGTCAATAGGCCATAATTGCGTCTTATTTCTAAAGAATTAAGAATTAATTATATTTTTATTTCCCATGTTATATATGCTGCTGTAGCGGTGTAGGCTTGTGAGGACTTTTTTTATTTATATAGATTTTAAGGCTTTCGTGGTTGTTCACTAAATGATTATCAGTAATTTCAGGTTTCTTACCACGGTAGGACTGCTTTTTATTTTCCCGATATTTCGGAACGCTTGCACGCTCCATAGTCACGGGTCGACTGGACGGCGGTAGATGACAACTTTAAGAGTCGACAACGCAAGCGGGTAGACATATCTGTCTACCCGTTTGCGTAAACATTGTAAAGAAGTGTACAAAAAAGAAAGAAGCAAATTGACGTACAGCGACTACCAGTTTTTCTGCTCTATGTACAAGCGGTGACAGATAAAATAGCCAGGTTGCTAAGTATAACCAAAGTAGGAAAAATGTTACGTTCACCAAAAGACCACCGTCCTTTACAAACACCGGGTGTCTATAAAGTGAACTGTATTGTGGGAGCTCGTATATCGGTCAGACTAAATGAACAATTGTCGGTCGTATAAAGAACACAACGAGCAGTAAAAGACAATGATACACAGAAGTCGGATATAGCACAACATCTCACACAGACTGACACTAACCACTGGATCGAGTTGCATAGCCCCCAGGTACTGTCAGAACGTCACTAATTATCACGGTTGGTACGAGAAGCCATCGTGATCACGAAGTACAAAACATTTAACCGTGATCACGGTTTTAAACTGTCCAGTGCAAGGAATCGGGTCCTTAGTGCGTGCAGTAATAATAACAAAAACACCTCGAGTTCCGTTTCGCGTGTGGATACTGTGCGTGTGGTTTGTGTGAAAAAATTGAGTGACAATGGTAACGCCACAACAAATCGCGATGAAGGTAGTAGTCGTCGACAACGCAAGCGGGTAGACAGATATGTCTACTCGCTTGCGTTGTCGACTCTTAAAGTTGTCATCTACCGCCGTCCAGTCGACCCGTGACTATGGAGCGTGCAAGTGTTCCGAAATATCGGGAAAATAAAAAGAAGTCCTACCGTGGTAAGAAACCTGAAATTACTGATAATCATTTTTTATTTAGTTTCTTCGCTATGCGCCGGAATTTCAGTCTTTTTAGAACGTATAAATTAGAATGGTCAATATCGCTTTGCTCAGGCAAAAAGTGAGTAAACGTTCATACATTTACTCATATTTCATACCAGTTACCGAGATCGGTAACTGTCTAACACCGCGGTCATCCGCGATTTTAGATAGTTACCGATCTCGGCCTTGGTCAATACTTAGTAATGACACAGTTAACAATCTGTTAAAAATTTATTTATTATATTTGGCGGTCTCCGTGGTCGAGTGGATTGCACACAGGTTTTCATGGTTTTCATTCACCGGATTTGGTCAGTGTAGAGAGTGAGAGAGAAAACTAACTTTTATATATTGTTTCGGGTCTGGGTGTCTGTGGTACCGTCGTTGTTTCCGATTTCCATAACACAAGTGTTTGAGCTACTTACTTTGGGATCAGAACAATGTATGTGACGTCTAATATTTTTTATATTTATTTTTTATTATTATATAAATTATTAACGCCAGTAAAATGTTCTTAAATTTTATTACAACACTAATTGTCTACTGTGGTCACCAGTGGCGGATTTGCCCTAAGGCCCATTAGGCCCGGGCCTAGGGCGGTCAGATTTTAGGGGTGGCCAGTCGTGACAAAAAATTCACTGATAATAACAAGAAATAACTCAAAGTACCTAAATAATATAAACGCTCACGACATTATGGCGGGCCGCACTGCACCGCATCGTACAACAATAATCTTCCTAAATCAGTTTCGTACATTTTATGTATAAAATATAAACATGTTACATATCTATAATAACAATCACTACATCACTACGTCTGTCTGTTTGTCTGATCGTGATAAACTCAAAAACTACGGATGCTGGTACTGACTACATGGCCTGGGGCCTAGGGCAGCCAAGACTGCAAAATCCGCCACTGGTGGCCGAATCGTTCAATAATTACGTTTCTTCATCATTCTTACTTTGCTACTAAATATCCGAACCGAGCAGACTTGCTCGACTTCACATCAAATTCTGATCGATTATACCATTGAAAATAATGCAACCTAACTGCTAGTAAAGCATTGTATTTGTACAAAAACAGGCCCTTTTGGGGTAAGTTCCTTATTACCACGTCTACCTGTATGTAATTTAAGTAGGGTGTGTTTTGTACCTGTGTTTATACCGTTATTTTATTTTGTTACAGCGTTTACCTTTCTTCCTTTTCCTATTCTTTACCTATTCCTATTTTACAATAAATGATGCGGACGGAGCCTTTCATTTTATTTCTCAAAGCCCTCGGCCACACGTTTATGCAACTGAGCGTCATGTTGATGTGAAATAAATATTTGTATCAACACATGCAATCTGAAGATACTTCTTTTAAGAGACAACCCTTTGTTTGCTTGAGCTGCGTTTAATTTATATTCTTGCTCCTGTCTTTAATTTAGTGCAATTTTAATAATAATAAATTTGCTTTTTATTTTTCCTCAAGATGTTTTCCTCCACCGAAAAGCTCATGGTAAATTTAAAGTGAAATTTTATTTTATTTATTTCTATGAGTATACTCTTTCGTTATTCAATAATGCCAAATGGCTTAACAGATGGCGGAAGCTGGTAAACAAATAAATAATTCCCTTATTTATACATGAGCTCGCTGTCGTATAAGGCCTCGTTCTCACTATGCCGGACCTGCGAATTTGCCGGAACCGGCTCCCGGACTAGGTGTTCACATTATGCCGGATCTCGCAAGAAAACTGGTGACAAAAATGACACGCGGGGAGTAGGTGGGGAAGGAAGTTCGTTCACATTACTCCGGTCCGGGCGTTCTGCCAGAGGCCCGCAGTGACAAACGCTCCGGCAAAAATGCCGAATCCGGCAAGAATGTCGGGTCCGGCGTAATGTGAACAGCTTCATATAAATTGTACAGCCACTGGCCTTTCCGCCAGTTTTACCGACCCGGTAAATTCGCCGGTCCGGCGAACGGATATTGGGAACGAGGCCAAACCATCTTTATAGATACAGAATATACACATCGCGCGTTGACATTGATACCGTCACTAAACGAAAGAGTCAACTTTATGAAACAAAATTTAAAATTCAAAAGCGAGAATTTCGTGTAGTAACTTCCAATGTATGTTTCTAACGTGCAATATTGTTTTTATATTCAAATTAGTTGACGGCCAACCTGATTAGTTCCCGCGGTATATTGACATTTGCTCGTCGTAGAGGATACGAACTTAAGTATTGCTTGTGTCTGTGATTTTGTTGAGTGAATTTACCTAAAAACAGCGAGTAGCCTCTCAGCTCGTACACTATCACCGTCATACACGTATAGATGGTCCCATCCGCATTCAGTAGCGAAGCTCTCGAGCCGCACGCGGAGCGCCGGGGGCGCAGGCCCGAGCCACGGAGGAGACACAAGCCAGGAGCATTGAGTGCTTATGCTGTAGTTACCTGGACCATCTGTGATGATCCCTGTCGGGGATGTCAGCCTGAAATTTGAAAAGAAATAATTAATTATTTGTGTTTTTATTGGCACATAGATTAAACAACACAAAGAAAAAATCTTTCGGTATAATTGCAATCGAACCAACGTCTGTTGTCACACCAGGACCACCGCTCTTAATAACTGTGCTATAGATAGGAAATGAAACATTTTTTTCGGATTTCAATCGCTTATATTTGTGTCTTCAAACAAACCAATATTTTGTACTTTGACTTTTTACTTTTTACCTAAATAATTTGTAAAACATAATGTAGCCTAAATTATAATGTTTTCTTTGTAAAATTTAAAATACGTACATACATACACATAAGCTCACGCCATAGTCCCACAGGAGGGGTAGGCAGAGATCACGAAGCGCCACTTTGTTCTATCCTGACTCAACTCTCGAGCCTCACATACATCAACTACCATTTTCATACAACTTCTTTTATTCTTGTCACTTCGGATTCCAGCCTTTTTGAGGACATCACTGATCTGATCAAAGTAAGTCCTTCAGTGGGGATATTTCTGGACCTAGCGAAAGCTTTTGATACAGTTTATATACCCATCCTATTGCAGAAGCTTGAATCCCTAGGTATAAGAGGTATACAGCTAAAATTATTTGCAGATTATCTGGAGAACCGCTCCCAATGTGTCAAAATAGGTGACGTTTTCAGTTCTGATCTCAAGAGTACGGCATTTGGAATTCCCCGAGGAAGTATTTTAGGCCCTACTCTGTTTCTGTTCTACATTAATGACCTTTGTAATCTAGAATTAGATGGCGGTATGATCATATCCTATGCCGATGATACTGGTCTGCATTTTTCTGCTAACTCTGATAAGGAAGTCTATGAGTATGCTCAGCGAGCATTCAATGTCGTAAAGAACTGGTTTCAGCAACATTTATTAACACTAAACGCGGATAAAACTAGTTTCATGCAGTTCTATATGCGAAAACCAAAGTCTGTTATAACTAACACACAACTTAATGCTCACCATTGTAAGGAGACTACTAGCAACCTGTGCAAGTGTCCAGACATTGCTATTACTAACAAGGTAAAGTATTTCGGTGTTATAATAGATGATAACCTCTCTTTTAAGCACCATATCGAAGCACTAAGCGGTATCCATAAGCTAATGTATGTGTTTAAAAAACTACGCGCTTTTGCTGATTTCAAAATAATCAGGCAAGTGTATTATGCCATATGTCAATCAATTATTACATATTGCATTACATCTTAGGGTATTATTGCTAAAACTTCATTAGTAACTATTGAGAGAGCCCAGCCAGCGGTTCTAAAGGTTTCTACCTTCCGCCCTTTCCTTTACCCTACTAACCTTCTGTATAAGTCGTGTAAGGTACTAACTGTAAGGCAATTATTTATTAAGTCCACAGTTCTCAAACAGCACATTGCACTCCCATATAGTACTGAAAACACTAACAAAAGACGGAAAGATATTGTGTGCCCCAAAATTGTATCATCAAAACATGTGTTTATTTCCAGATTTTGTGTTTCTTGGTCCAATTTTGTACAATAAATTAAACGCCAAACTGGCCATATATCATTTTTGTTACATAAAGGTTAAGAAAATTCTCCAAGAATTCCTTCAAAATATGTCCTACCGATGATAGAGTAGTTTGCATTAATATTCGACATAACTGGTTGATGATTGTACCACTTCAATCAACCGTGACGATGGGACCTGTAAAGGGCGTTGGTTTGTTTAAAAAAAAATACAAATAAACGCAATTTCATTCCGGAAAAATAATTTCATTTCCTATGTGTAACAATCGAACCTAAGAACGCGAACTGTGCTTGCGCGCTTGCAGCACACGAGGTGCTGCATATGCGCGCAATAAAATACATGTTACTATTATAGCGGCGCGCTAACGGCACGCGAATAGATCGCACAACTGTGCAGCTGCACACGAGTCTTTCGTAAACAGGCGCATTAGCCAGATCTGTTCCAAATCGTGTATGTTTGTTTTTTCAGACAACTCAACGTTTCGGGCCCTTTACAGTCAACCGTGACCATGAGACTTAGGGCCCGAAACGTTGGTTTGTTTGAAAAAACTAATTTAATATACGCGATTTAAATCCGAAAAAAAAAATAGTTTAATTTCCTACATTCCTGACATTTTTAGTTTGTTAAATTGTAACTTGTGACATTGTAGTAGTCCATTAATATTTCATAATTAGCGTTGCGTGCTATTTAATTAAGCAAACCGTGATTGCACTGGCACTTTTTGTTATATCTTCTGTTGTCATGTTTTAAATAAATAAACGTATTACTATTACATTGTTACAAAAAATGTGTCGTAATGTTTTTAACCCCATAATAAATTAGCTATAACCCCACAAAATACCTGTAGGGCTAGCACGACAGGGCGCGACTTGTGCGAGAGGGTAATCTATCACAAACTTGAATTTTTTTTCCGAAATATAACGTTTGTTCGAATTTTCATTACTCCGAAAACCGATAACGAAACTGTTGTTCTTTCAGGATTGTTGGATGTTTATCGCAAAGATACGATTAGGTTCGGTTAGGTTAAGTTAGGTTTAAAAGAAAAAACATTTTCCTATCAAAATTACTTTCGAGGTTATGAAAATTCGAGCACACGTTATTTCTGGAAAATGTAATTTCACACTACTGGTAGGTAACCCTAAATACTATGTAGCAGGCTTGGTCGCTCGCAAGCCTGCTACTTAGTATTTAATTTAGTTTTAGTTTATTTTCAATGGGTCAGAAAACGTTCCCATTAATTCGTAACGTTTTATTTATCGTTGAACGACTGTCGTGTCTAGTCTAGTCTGTTCCCACTAGATCGTGACGACAGTTGATCGGTTCACTGCAGCCGCCTATGTTGTTTGCACGACAAAATCGTTTGAAGCTGCTATTATCTGTCGTCACATTTTTATCGTGACGTTTTATTTATCGTAAAATAACGCGTAACCGAGGCGTAAACTGCTTCTGTGGCCGAACGGTTACTATGCCGGAGTGCGACGCAGAGGTCCCAGGTTCGATTCCGGGGCCGGGAGAAATATTTGTATGGCCTATATTTATTTCTCTCGTGAGTTTGGGTGTAATTTGTGGTTGTCTATGTGTGTGTCCATGGTACCCGCGACACAGGGATTCCCTAGTGCGGGACTATGTTGAGTATGTGCGTTATTATTATTATTATTATCGTCAGACGACTGTCGTTCTAGCTCTTCCCATTGTCAGGACAATCTGTTGTTGTTACGTTAAAAAAGTCGTGTTGTACTATATGTGAACAACTACATTTCAATATACAAGTCACGACACTTTAAACTGTACGACTATATATCGTCACGGCATAATGGGAACGCGCCCTTAAGACCCTTCAGCTCGCCTTTTTTCCGGTGGAGCAGTCAAGACCAGAGCCATGGAATGTACTCCGTGGTACTATCTATGGAACAGCCAGCAACGCACAGACACTCAACAAACAGAACCAATAAAAAAAACTGTTTCCCAATTTGTCCTACCGAGAATTAAACCTTGGACCTCATCCAGCGTCTACAGTGCAAACTGTCGGACCACCGAGATCGTGAAATTCACAATACAGGTGAATAAAAAGATATTTTTATTTTGTTTTGATGTCCTCGTGACCCTGTGGCATTGACAAGGGAAAACAATGCCAGAGATAATTAGCCGACTATTAATTTGTACGGTCTATTAATAGTATTTTGGTTACATAGCATCTGTACACATTTCACAATTTATTGAACGAATGACATTTGAAATTGTTATCTTAACATTAGTGTAGAGAGCTATAGGCATCTTAGCAAATTAAAAGACGATCAATACTTCACGCTTCATATTCGCCACAAATTAGCAGTGTCAGGTTGTATAGAACGCATAAATAGGTACGTGCTAGACAACCACACCAATTGCCATGTCTCAAACTGGGGAATTCCTAGTACTATGAGTATCAGAGCTACAGAATTCTTCGGCACTTCCCACAGACACAGACCAGAACCAATTTAGAAAAGTTAATTCCCAAATTGGTCTTACCGGGAATCGAACCCAGAACCTCCGCATACAAGCCCCTAAAACGTAAACCTTTAGGCCACCGAGGTTGTCATAGGTAAACGCTGAACGAGTGAAGAGCATTTTGGACCTCAATGCTGAGATATTAAGATTTACTTTTGTACGCCGGTTTTCTGTTGTTGGAGGAGTTACCGGACCGGGTAAAGTTATAAATAGTAACTTTTCTATAATGTCTCGGGTCTGGGTGTTCGTGGTACCGCTGTTATTTCCGATTTCCATAGCACAAGTGCTCAGTTACTTACTTTGAGATCGGAACAACGTATGTGATATTGTATAATTTTTATTTATATATTTCACAGGTAATGCGTAAAATTCTGGCAAATTATTATAAAGTATTAACTTTAGTGACGCCATAAGAAAGAATGAAAATGTGAGTGGAAAACAAGGGGGTTTCGGGTTGATAACAAATAAGGCAACTTTGTCCACCAGCTGACACAGTCTCACGTTATTACTCATATGTTTTGTACTCAAATTCATTTGCTAAAGTTTTTAAGGAGTGGTTTGATAAACCACAGTTAACATAGCTCCCTAATTAAAATTCAAAAAAATAATAGTACAATTGAGATTTGAATTTGATTGTGAACTACAGGTCCAGCAAAAAGTTCGTTACAGATCTTTTGTATTGGGATTATTCGGCTTTTACCGCTGTAAAGTATTTTTCTTTGTCTTCAATCTTTGTATTTGTAATTATTAAAAAACTAGTGGAGTAATTTTATTAAAAAAAATATATTAAGGAAGAAAAACATCATGATATTCAATAGAATAAAAAATATAACTATTTTACTTTTCATTTTTTAAATTCCAGGATTTCAGGGGGGTTATTATCCACTCTGTGTATTAGTTGAAGTTTACGTAAATATACTGCAGTTATTGCGCTAAGCACTAAAGTATATTTTAATAGGTATAATGTACAACTCTATAAAAATAGAATATGTA